CCAAGATGCAGGGGAGTAGGCCAGTGGATCGGAGGAAGCGGAGGTCCCGGTCACAGACGAGGAGGCAGCGCTAACTGCCTGTTCCTCAGCCTCAACAGCGTCACGCTTCTCAGCAGCCACACGTTCGGCCTCCTCTGCCGCATCAAGCTCGTCGAGGGTTTTCAAACCTCGCCGGAGCATATCTTTACCACGGGTTCGGATGAGGCGTTTCTGCTTCCGCAGACGAAGTAACTTCGAAAGGGTTTCTTCCTCTTCGCGATCCAGGCGATCCTCCTCCCGTTCGAGCTTCACCCAGTCGGGATGCTCAGGACCCATACAGTCACACTTTTCTTTCAAGTTGCGACGAACGCACTCGGCGCACCGCCGTGAATCATTCGGAGACGACACGCAAGTAATGTTTCGCCTCACGCAGTTCGAGCAAGAATCCATTTCGGGTAGTTCGTATCCGTGGTTCTTTATTCGACGGACAAGATCGTTGCGTTCCTGGAGTTTGCGGGCAGTGTCAGTAGGCATGTTGCATGTTGAAGGACTCGCTGAGGAGCAGCAGAGTCCCGGGGACATGGACGTACTTATAGGATTCGAGACGAATGCCCAGGGGAAGGGAGCGAGTGTTACGACGGAACAAGAAGGCTGGCCAACTACAGGACAGGAAGGAGGGAGGTCGCATGAGACCGGCCCTGGTACCTGGAGGGGCAGCGGGGAATAGTAGTTCCGAAAGTATCACGTGACGGACTCGCAGGATGATGAGAAGAGTCCTAAGAGTCCAGGACTCCGAGGACTCGAGTGAGTTCCCAGGAGTCCACTAGGCACGTGACGGACTCGCAGGATGATGAGAAGAGTCCTAAGAGTCCAGGACTCCGAGGACTCGAGTGAGTTCCCAAGAGTCCACTAGGCACGACGCCACTATATAAGTAGATAGTATTCCCTTAGATAGGAGCTTCGTGCTCAACTCAATACAGTATTTGTTATATACTAGTAACGTGTTACTTAAAGCCTTTGTGTCTGATCCCCTGCCTCCTCTGATAAGTAAACCTTTACGCAAGAGAACCTCTGTGTCTTCTATCATTTAGAAGTCAGCGTTACACTCTGTCTGTACACCGGCTTTCTTCCTTCTCCAAGCCTGATACTGATTTTCCCACTGCTGATGCTGCACCGTTGTTGCTGTGTTTGCTCGTGGAGGAAGAACAATAGCTTTGGACTTGTATTTTTCTTCCCAGAATTCCTGCATCTTAACCTTTCCTCTAGTGATCCACACATCCTCCCAAGTAGATTCGAAGTACTCCCATTTAAACGCCGGGCACAGTACCGTTGCTGCTATATAGACCGGGGTTCTACCTGTTAGAGCATAGTACTTGTCTAGTTTAGCCCAACCAGAGTTGCAACATGGGGCCATGTATCTATCCTCTTAATATTGTATCTTTGCGGCCTCAAAATGCTCTAATAGAAAGTCCATAGTAGGTAAAACACGGTCTAATGTGCCCACGTGTCCTTCAGTTGATAGTGTGGCGTCCTCAAAATACTGAAGAAAGTCCCTAATCTTCTGCAAATAACCCCAGTCTGTTTCTGAAAGTGCGTCCTTTTCTAACTTGTCTCTAGCTGCAAAGACATCAATAGCTTCGCGTCGTAGTGGATCCAAGGCGCAGTCAATCATCTTAAACCAAGAGTTCCATCTAGTAGAATTGTCCCTGATTAAACTCAAGCCTCCAGTTTGTGTACGAAATCGTTGAATTCGCTGTGTGCTGCGGCGAATATAAACAATGAGGTTGTGCAGCTTTCCCAGTGGCCCCTTCTTTCTCCAACTGTCCATTTCCAGTTGAGTTGGTGTAGAATATTGACCCTCGTTGTTGTGTTCTGCTAGAGCTTCGGTTTCAGTATTGAAGAGAAAGGATTGAGCAGCTAGATTGATGATATGGCCATTGCATCGCAATCGGTAATGAAGAGGATCGTAGGTGAGATTGTGTTATTCCTGAAGAGCTGTCCAAATAAGTATTAGCTATAACTTGGACCTTTAAGATGGAAAACAATAAAGGAAATAAAGTATACCGGCAGAGAGGTGCTCCATCATAGTATCATTGTTGTCTGCATTGTCCGTCATCATATATCCAACCTTCGAAGTAACTTGGTAGTCTTCTAAAAGGTCTATAAACACTGAAGCCATGTTCTCTCCACTGTGTTCACCCTGAAGCTCCGGAAGACCCAGAACTAAAGACCGGAGTTTCCCATGTTCATCAGTAAAATGACTGACGATACCAAGTAAGGCGTGCGAGTTTGGTGAGCTCCAGAGATCCAAGGTAAAGTGGATGGAAGACAGTGCCGATTGAAGGGCGAGTTTTGTATATTCCTTTTCTTGTTGAAAGGTCCTCATAATCCAACCGTGAATTGTGTTGTGTGTAGCAGGCAACCAGGTGTTGATATTAGGATTTAGATACTGTAGAAGGGCCCAGAATTCATCTGTTTCCACCATCCGGAAGGAGATATTGCAAGAGGTAATCCATTTCACAAAGAGTTGTTCGAGAGTTCCAGGGTCCAGCTGATCTCCAGTTCCATCATTATAATTAAGGCGCCGGCGTGAATGTGATGCTTCTTCACCTCTTTTGAAGGCATGGCGAATAGTGGCTTCTACAGCTAGAGAATGTGTCTGTTCTTCGTAGATATTATGACCTTTTAGGTGTCGGGCAATGTTTTTGGTTCCTCCAGATTCCATATAAGTCTGAGGGCAGAACTTACACTTCCATACAGAACGGCCACTATCATTAGTCCAAATACGAGCTCGCCCTTCTTCTGTATCAGGAACGTGATCCCATACCCAGGACGTACGGGCGCGTCGTTTACGTGACCGTGAATGTGAGCGTGATTGGTGTCCAGAAGTAGGAGTAGAAGGTTTCGATTCTTCCTCGTCAAAATCATCACTCAGAAGATCAGACAATACAGCGAAAGACTGTTGAGAAGACATCTTGAATCAATGACTGTGAGAAGTGAAGCTCAATAACTGAAAAGGGGCTTAATAACTAAAAACTCCACTTTATTTCTTAAGCGTAATGAAAGTGTCTTAAACTGACTAATAAACCAACAGTTTCACAGTTTTGAGGAGGTCGAAACTGGACGGACTGTTTAATAGGAATCTGTAAACTGAACTGCAAACTGAGAAACAGACTGCGAAACGGACTGTGAAACTGTGAAACTGCGAAACTATTACCCACACTGACCACAGTTGCCACAGCGCCTTGCGCGTGTTTCTTTCCTTGGCTTCCGACCACTCCCTGCCTGTGTTTCTTGCTTTACTTGTTGCGCAAGGTCCCTCTCATCTTGTAACTCTTGTGCTTCGTGTTGTGTAAGTGATCCTCCTTGCTGTAGGCGTGTTTTTTTAGCCCTTCTGCGTTTGCTAAGTTGTTCCATCCCTTGCTGAAGCATTTCGTTCTCTGCTTTTAACAATGCTAATTGATACATCATTTGTGATGCTCCCTTTGCAAATTGGTCAACAGCATTGTAAATAGAGGTTGGTGAGCTATTTTGATGATGTGCAATTCGATTTTTAATAAAAGTGTCTGCGATAAGGCTTCATTTTGGTTATTTGGTGTCTGGTAAACCCAAGGTTGAGCGGTGCTAGGGCGGGAGTTTTGTGGTGTCGGGGTTCTAAATCTGAGATCAAGCATAGAAACCACACTATCAGGATCAAATGGGAAAAGCCCAGTGCCTCGGAAGCCTTCTCGGATGTTGTTTTCAGTCATTGCAATAAAGAAAGCAGCGTGAAATGCGGGAAAGAAGTCATCCTTCGTAATATGCGTGATGTGAGCCTGCATCATGTTTTCGATTTGCTGCCCATAAACCCTTTTCAGTGGGCCAAAACACCCAACATCGAGTGGTTGGAGGATATGAGAAGAATGAGCCGGCATACATAGAGTGATAATATTGTTTTCCTTGCAGTATTCCTCAAATTCGTCTGAGTGATGGCTTTCATGACCATCAACGATCAACAAACGATAACCACCTACAGTTCGAGGTTTTGTATGCTTCTCGAAATGTCGGATCCAATCCATGCCTTTCTCATTTGTTGTCCAACCATTATCTGTAACAGCAATTACCCAGTTTGGTGGAAATCCGCTGTTTTCATACCAAGACGTGAGGTGGTTTTTGCTTGCAACAATAATAAATGGTGGAATCGCCCAGCCTTGGGAATTAACACCCTGTATTACTGTAGCCCATTCACGATTGCCAGGCTGTACTTTCTTTGCCTTCGTACGTCCATCAGAGCTTGTTACCACTGTTGCAGTTGAAATAATGCCCATCATAAACCCTGTCTCATCGAAGTTGTAAATATCCGCATCGTGGATGCCGTACTTCACAATTGTGTTTGGCACAAGCTCAAACCAGCTACGAATAATTACTGGGTCTTCGCATTTAGCCCTCTGATAGTCGTATTTGCGCTGGAACCTTGTTTTGAGTTCTATGCGACGTTTAACAAAGTTGGAAGCCCAGCGCGTCTTGACAGGTAACGAGTCGCGTGTCGCGAGAAGTTGATTTGCAATATCTCCCACAACAGACAATCAGGGAGGAAATCCTTTAGCAGCTAGGTCGAGAATATACTGGACAAGGATTGATTCCTCTAAGTCGGTCATTTTCCGCAAATTGGCAGAAATATCGCGTCGTGAATGCATACCATGCTTACGACGACTAAGCTTCTGATGATCGACAGAATAGAGCTTTCCAGCAGCTCGAGCACTTAGCTTAGGGTCATTTTGCATCGCCTGAAGAGCTAATATAACTTGGCGTTCATCGTTTTTCTGCGGCATCTTTTGTTGTGAAGGGATTTACTGTTTACTAGAGGAGTTGTGTGGATTCAAGGTAGTGTATCATTCGTTATGCACGCACGTTATATGGTGAAATTGTAGATATTTTCAAGCTACCTATCACGTGCTGCATACATGTGATCGTGGTCGGTCTGCTAAGGAACCGTTAGGGGACTACACCGGTCTGGGCGGTTTGGTCTGTATTTCCAGACCGGACCGCGGTCCGGTCTGGAAATATTTCGAACCGACGGTTCCGAACCGATATTCCCCCATGACGCACACTATTCCCTGCTGCACTGCTGGGCTGTGATCAATCGTCAGAGAGGAGGTAGCATCGAATATCACAGCTCGATCCCGTTACTCCTACGACGCTGGGGAATAGCTACACAGATTAGGAGCCGTTCTATTGTCGTCACGTTAGGAAGGTTTAGAACGGATCAACAAATCACATACACACACTTCCTCCAAGATAACAGACGAACCACAGTTGGATCATAAGCGAGGGTTCATTGGTATGGAACCAAACCAGATTGGAGCAGGCCAAAATCCCTCACCCACAACGGCATAATATTTCCTGCCATGGGAACTGAAGTCTATTATCCGTAAATATGTTTGAGCTAGCGCCGGCCCCCTTCCAAGAGCATTGCTGTGGCCTATTGCGTCTTCGTCTCTTGTATTCAAATCAGCAGTAGCATATATAAATTGCCTTGAGACGAACCAGTGCGTCGCTGTCGCCGAATGTTCCCGTCGGCCAAGTTGAATAATAGCCAATAGCCTGAATCTGGATTCACACTCTGAACAACGTGAGTGGACGCATCCAGGTAGTTGGCATGACTTAATGTCAGGCATAAAGGTCTGTGAATTGTGAATTGTCGCAACGGCAGCAGCGCTACGCTAAGGCACTTGTTTCGAGCTGTTAATAAACGAAATCACAACGACCCTCCTCTTGCCTCCCCATGAAGCACGACATATATTTATATCTCCATTCTGAATTACACCCGTCTCACTCGAACCCGGAAGCAACGCGACTGCGGTCTTTGCTGGTATAGACAGGACTATATTCCCAGATGCTCAATAACATCAGACGAACGATCCTTCCTTCAATCCAGCCGCTGCTGGCTCTGTGCTGCAGCGAAGACGATACGGGAGTTAGCTAACACTTGCTAGGGATCTGTTTCGAATTCTGGAAGGCTTAAAGAGAGCAGGAACCTATTGAGGTTGTTGGCCAAGATGCCTACCTTGGCAGTGACAAATTTTAACATTGTTTGCTCGGTGCTTGGCGGCTTCATTACTTTGTTTGGACTGGTATCTTATTTATTCAAGGAGAAGTTCTACCTCTCTGAAGCATGTATGCTCATCCTGAGCCTTTACTATTATATGACTAGGCTAACAGTTGAGATCCCAGTGATATCGTTGCTCGCAGGAGTCATCCTCTCCCCTCACGCTGCGAATTTTATCAAACCATTCGAGTATACAATCACGCAGGCCAATCTCGATACCACGACGTTATACTTTAGCCGCCTTGTGCTTGGCATACAATTGGTCATCGCAGGTGTTCAACTCCCGAGTCGATACCTTCAGAAAGAATGGAGACCACTCTCGCTCCTCCTTGGCCCAGTCATGGCAACCATGTGGCTAACCAGCAGTCTTCTCATCTGGGCCATGGTCCCGCACCTACCGTTTCTCCATGCTTTGGCTATTGGCGCATGCGTTACGCCTACAGATCCCATCCTTTCGAACAGCATTGTGAAAGGGAAGTTTGCAGACAAGAACATTCCTAAGGACTTGCAAAAGATCATTATCGCTGAATCTGGGGCAAACGACGGGTTGGGGTATCCCTTCGTTTTCTTGTCCCTCTACCTGATCAAGTACACGTCCGAGGGAGGACTCGGTCAGGGAGGAGGAGCGCGAACAGCAATAGGACTCTGGTTTGGCGAGACCTTGGGGTACACAATTCTGCTCAGTGTCATCTACGGTGCTACTGTTGGATGGATAGCAAAGGAGCTACTCCATTGGGCTGAGGAGAAGAACTTTGTGGACCGAGAGAGCTTCCTGGTCTTTGCCATCACGTTAGCATTGTTCATCGTAGGCACGTGTGGCATGATCGGTAGCGACGATGTCCTGGCTTGCTTCATTGCCGGGAATACTTTCACTTGGGACGACTGGTTCCGGCTGGAAACACTGGACGATTCTCTACAGCCTACCATTGACATGCTCCTCAATCTCTCCATCTTCATATGGTTCGGTGCGGTCTGCCCGTGGGAGAGCTTCGCGCGGAATTCTGTGGTGCCGATTTACCGTCTAGTCTTTCTCGGTATCTTAATTCTCCTTCTACGGTATGGAATCGATTCCTTACCCCGTGGTTCTGACCGATATTCTAAACTCTCCTCTCAGGCGCCTTCCCATAATCTTTGCCCTCCACAGATCAATTCGTCAGATCGACGAGGCTAGGCAAGCAATATTTGTTGGGTTCTTTGGGCCGATCGGCGTATCCGCTGTCTTCTACATATATATCAGTCTTGAATTCCTCGAAACTATTACAGTAGACGGTGTTCAGCGAGCCGATGCTGCGAAGCTCGGTGAGACCCTCACGATTGTTGTTTGGTTCTTGGCTATATGTAGCATCGTAAGTCTGAGCCCTAGAATTCTCGTAAATGCTAGTTGACAATCCAAGGTCGTACACGGTCTCAGTATCCCCTTAGGAAAACTCGGCTTCTTTCTGCCAAAGACGCTGTCCCGAGCATTCCCATCACAAGGCAACGACGAGGTTCCGGCCTTCCAAATTATGGACCGTGTCCGAACTTCGCGGGCTGATATTCTGCGGGAACGCAAGAAGATGCGTGGAGAACCTTCAAGGCAATCGACACCTAATCTCTCGGCTTCGACTTTGACAACTCGGCCGATTTATAGGATTGGCGGAAGGGTGATAAGGGATGGGAATACGGGAACTGCTACGACGGCCGAGAGTAGCCGGCCATCAACTCCACCCGCTGTTGTCACTAATCGCACGATTCGATTCCCTGATGATGAACGGCCGGCGGCTCTTTGAGCCAGAGGCAGCATCCGAAGCAGCGCTTGCCCACTAGCTCTGTCAGAGGGAATGCTCAACGTCTCGGCAGGGATGGACAGTTCAATAAACTCTGGATGACACTTTGGCCGAATTCCATATAAAAGGGCAGTGCGGCGCGGGCGGGAAGGCTTGAGGAGCATGGCTATCGCCGCCAAATCTTGGCGGCGATAGCCATGCCTGATCCGCTGCGTGCTACACCTGGTTTGGTTGACAGCTGTTAAGCGAGCCTCAATTAACCCTCCATGCACTGTTGAGCAGCGGCCCATGGGATATTTCGCATGAGGCAGAGCCTGACCCAGAAGTCTTTGCTGCTTTGTGCTCTGTGAAAATCTTTAGATATATTATGGGGCCAGTAAGAAGACCGCCCCGAATTTGTATGCGAGATTTAAATAAACGGAAGTGATAAAGCTCACGTTCATTCACTAGCAAGCCCACGTGACGTGTAATAATATAGACTCGCCGATAGCTCCCCCACGACCACAGACACAAGATGCAGTCAGCTCGAGCATTAGTGACACGAAGGGTAAACTGACGACCATTCCTCCAGATGAACATCACTAACCGCGATCTAGGAGAGGCCTCTCTAATTCAAATGAAACGGCATTTGACTGGCGACCTTGAACGTGCAGGTCAACACGTGCGTCATGGCTTGGAATCCAGCAAATTCGCACGCTCCTTAAAGTTATGGGAGTGCTAGCAGTGACTATGATCATCTCGGAGGGCTGCTCACCCCTGCTCAATCAGCCTTAGGTGCTGTCCAAGGGATCGAAGTCGTGCATCCTCACATCTCAAAAGGCACCTTGATTGGGGTCACTGATGCCATTCTAGTCGTGCTATTTGTCATTGAGCCGCTCGGGATTACTAAAATGACTTTTGCATTCGCGCCCATTATTATCATCTGGCTCGGCTTCAACGCGGTTTTTGGTATATACAACCTTGCCAAATATGACGCCAGCGTATTCGAAGCTTTCAACCCCGGCTGTGGTTTTGAATTCCTGATCCGCAACGGGGGGCATGCCTGGAGAATGCTTGGTGGCATTTTGCTAGCCGAGTCGAGGCTCTCTTCGCCGACCTTGGAGCTTTAAGTAGGAGAGCGGTTCAGCTAAGCTGGTTGTGCTACACGCTTCCGTTTGGCGTATACCGGGCAAGCGGCTTATATCAGCGTTCATCCGGAGGCATACTCGAAACCTTTTTTCAATTCAATGCCGCCAGGAACCATTTATGCGGCCCTAGTCATCGCAATTCTAGCCGCCATTGTTGCCTCACAAGCTATTATAACAGCAGCGTTTCAGGCGAGGATCAAAGCATCGAACCACGAAAATTGACAGACTCTTTCCTTAGCTGCTCGCCCAAGTTATGAAGCTCTTATACTTTCCACAGAGCAAAGCGATTCACACGTCTTAACATTTTCCATGGTTAACTTTATATCCCAGTCGCGAACTGGCTTCTCATGATTGGAACGATAATGGTAGCATCGATTTAACAACAATGTATGTCGTCGGTCCGCCAAGTTCATTGCCTCGGGTATTGATCTTGCCTACAGACTACATCTCTTGGAAATGCGTATGGTGTCTGCATTATGTTCGTGACCTTCTTCGACTCATGTATGGTCTCATTGGCAGCTATGTTTGTATGGCGCATTAGCCCCTTTATAGCCGTCCTACCATGGCTCATAATTGCCTGTATGAACGGTACATACCTCTCTTCTGCGCTCGCAAAGGTCCCCGATGGTGCCTGGTTCACCATCACGCTCGCCGCTATACTCGCATCCGTTCTTCTAGTGTGGAGATTCGGCAAGGAACAGCAATGGTTTGCCGAAGCCGAGGATCGCTTTCCCACTTCGCATTTTGTTACGAGAGGTTTAGACGGCTAGACGCGTCTTACAGACCGATATGGTGGCGTTCCTCTAAGCACAACGAAGGGCTTCGACAAGGCCGGCGAGACTACCCCAATAGTCTTCAGCCACTTTGTTCTCAAGCTTACTGCGATGCTAGAAGTTAGCGTCTTCTTCCATCTAAGGCCCCTCGAGACTCCTTTGGTGGCACCAGAGAACCGGCACGCTGTTTCACGGCTTGCAATCCCTAACTGCTACCATCTTGTGGTTCGCTACGGATACAACGACGAAATCATAACCCCAAATCTTGCCTCCCTCATCGCGGAACAGATCCGCAGATATCTGATTGAGAATCAGATCCTTTGAAGAGAAGTTTCTCCGGACTTACCTGCAACTATTATGAACGAGAATCGGATTAACGCTACGGACCATGCTACGACAACTAGCCTGGAGAAAAGAAAATGGTCAGTCAAGAGGGAGACGATAGTGAACTGGCTAAACTTGAGGATGCATACACGCACAAAGTGCTCTATGTCATAGGCAAAGAGCAGATGAAGATTAAGGAGGGTACGAATTACGGTAGGAGGATATTGCTGTGGGTCTTTTTGTGGATCAGGGATAATACCAGGAACAAGATAGCTAACCTTCGGGTCCCAACGGACAAGGTGATTGAGGTCGGATTCTTAAAGGATATTTAGCTTCTACACATATCTAGAATGCACATTATATGAACATGATTTATGAAGTTCTTCTACTAGATAACTGTCTGCATCAAAGGTGACATATATAGGGAGGTTTGACTTCGAAGACAGCGGTAAAGTCTGACTAGGCGCCTCGTATTCTTGCTGCCCGATATGTTCTTGAAGATCAATGGTTATAGCTCCAGAAGACGCCCATGGCACATGATGCTGTTAATCATGACATCACCAGTATGCATATTGCAGTGCCGACGAGCCAGTGGGATGCCAAACAGCTAGGACAGAACTACCAGTCTATCGCGGCTCCTCTTGAATCATGGACTCCAGACATTATGAAATTTCGTAATGCAGCAACGGAGTATTGACGATGACCCTGCCAAGGTGGTATTTGGATATGGACGCTGGTGCAAAGCCGGCCTCGAAGAACCAATTATGCCCTCTTCGAAGCGAAGTCCATTGGGATGGAAAGGTATTCTCAAGTCGCGCGACTGGATCCCGTTCTACTGCTTCTAACCATAGACCGTCGTTGCAAGACAGGCTCTGGACTCGACTCCCTTAGTGGCCTCGCAATGATGTCATTCTCTACAATATAGTCAGTCAACAAGTCGATCTTGTCTAAGATCGCCTCAGGGGGGTCTGTTTCGAAAACCGCCTGTATGTCTCCATGAGGAGAAAATCCAGAAAAGGTCCAAGGGAAAAGCTTGCTGCGTTTTGACGGGCCATGAGGTCGTCCGTTGGTCACCCGCCAAAGTTGATTTCGCTCGTAGATGCTAATAAGCAAAAGGATGGGAGCGTTAAGGATGCGAATCATCGCAACGTTCACAGTGTGAAACCATCGCGGAGAGAGGAGGAGCTTCAGCGGAAGGAGGATCAACAGCGCTATAACGTTACAAGGCGGGCGATAGGCGAATATGGCATCGCTTTTCACGCCCTCAAAGGTGAGCACCGCCCGCCGGAAATGGATCTCGGCGGTCGCATTTGCAACAATCTTGGAGAATGTATTAGTGAGCATCGAAACAAGAATGGTCAGAAAGAGCGTATTGCCCAGAAAAGCGAACGCGATCATGAGCGACGGCCCGAGAACAAGGTGGAAGTCCACGGAGCGCTCGATTCCTGTCCCATCAAGCCCAAACCAGATCCAGAGCATCCATTTAGAGATGGTGGCCGGGTCGGGCGCGTCGCGGCTGCCATCCTGGTTGCTGACGTCGAGAAGCCACTTCATGGAGAGAAAGAAGCCAGCAAAACACCAGATTGCCAGCAGTGTTAGGACCATGAAATCTCTCATCATGGCTCGGAGCGAGATAAAAAGCATGTTGTCTGGCATCAAGTTGAATGCAAGACGGGGTAGGAGAACCGGCGCCGCTATAGCCAGTATGTTGAGCGCATCCTCCCCTAGATGGAGACGGCCGCTCGCCAATGCATACATCCGTGTCGTAAAATAGGTAGCATAGATGAGGAAGAACGTAATATCTAAGAATGACCACAGATTCTGCGTATGAACCTTCCACCCGTGCTCTATGATTGCAGCAAACTCCTCTAGTATCCAACCGGTAGCATAAGCACAGAAGATGATTTCGTAGATCGTAATTTTAAGCCCTTCGCGGCTAACCATTGTGAGTACGTACAGGACTAAAAGGGCTGCAAACTGGCAGACTTCAATCATGCCGCGAAGCCGTGGGACGATCAGCCGGTAGTGGTTTAGAAGAGGTGCTTTTTGAGGATTGTAGAGAGAAATCGGGTTGTGTTTGTAATGATCGGGCAAGATGTCGACAAATGATAGCGGCGTATAAATGACCTGTCCTCGATAGATTGCATCTACCACCTTCTGGCAGGCGGAAGAGCAGAGGAAGGTTTTGCTTTCGGAGATTATGGCCACCTCTAAGGCCGGCAGCTTCCTTTCGTAGCCCCCTCTCCACTGAACTGGCCATTGCAAGGCGCTGGGCTTCTTCTGCAGGACCTCATCAGGGGCGTTTTGAAAAGGCTCAAAACCAGCCACGAGAATGTTGGCTAGCAACAACAGACCCTCATGACCTGGGTTGTCATCGTCGAAACGTCGGAGAACTCGGGTAGCGACTTGAGTTCAGAGTCAGCATGTAAAAGGAAATGAAACAAAAAATCCGGAAATCTGCGTACCGAGCTCACAGAGAGTAGCGCGAGTGATGTTGACTGTCTGGAGGTGGCCTTGATATGACTGTTCGCGAAGGAATTGCATCCGGTTGACGAGGAGACAATACACTTGGGCTCAGGGTTAACTCCGCTCTTGGTCGATAAGGATGGAAGCATCGTAGTGCAGAGAGGGGTGTGTTTTAATCCATAGGACTAGAAGCATCTGAGGTCTAGAAACAGGATGTGTACCTACCAACAGATACGTCACTGGGATTGTAGAGTCGATCCACGAGGGCCCTCACAATGAGTATATTCATCCGTGGCTCCTGGAGCTGCTCCAGGGAATACGGATCATCTGGTCAAAATCTTTAGATTCCCGCTCCCTTCCCGCCGAAGGTGTCGCAAGAATACTGACCTATACTGGAAACGATAAGCTTGCGAATCCTACAAACGGTCAGCCTAAACCAATCCGCAGAGTGATTATGAATTCCCTTCGAGTTCGAGGACGCACCGGTGGATCGTTATATACACTGGCAGGTCAGCATGAGGATCGGGGGTGAAATGCTCGCCCGGGGCGTGTTCTAGGAGTGCGTCACGATCATTGAACGTAGGCTCCATTCCCACTGAGACGGGTCTATGAGGTGGAGAGAGACACGATGGGGGGGATAGATGGCCTGACTGCGTGGAGGATGCTGTAAAATGCACTTCCTGTGCTGGTGAGAATTGTGAAGCTACCCAGGTTTAACTAATGCCAGCTGACGTAATGATCTCACTTGTAGACCCTGGAGATATGGCAGATACAGTATGCCAGATGTAACTTACTCCGTACTCTGTGGAGAACCTGAGGCATTTTGGCCTGCACCAAACAGAATTTAAGCAATCTCACCCCCACCCATCGCAATCTCAGCCCCACATCCGTCAAACATCCCTTGTCGCCAGCATAATATGAGAATATGACATCCCTGTAGCGCCTCGGTGGCTTTCTAACAATTAACAATGCGCACATTGCAAATGCAGGCACGGCTGAACACGGTTCAGCATGTGGCAAGCGAACTCGAACCATGCTAATATCGTGTGGTCTGTCTGTCAGTGCGGCAATTTGGCCTCGTCGAATCTGGTCTTGACGATAAGGTGGCTAAGGCACCACTCCTTTGTCGCGAGATTCTATTATGTCAGTTAAGATATGGGATATCTCAGATGTGAAGATTAGGACAACTTTAGATATCCCCTTGTCTTTATCATTTCTGTGAGGGAGATATATAAGGCTGGCAGTTAGCAAATCACCGTTCGCATGTTCTACGACATTGTGCATTTGTCCTTGGAATTAATTTATCACGTTTTGTTGCCGCTCTCAGAAGAAGCTGCGTGGCATGGCCGACATCAGCACTACTCCAGGTAGTCAATCAGGAGATGTGACCGAACATAAAGATCCCTCTCTATCGGAAAAGGCTGAGGACTATGACCTTGACGAGGAAGCTGTGAGAATCGCTGATGAAGATTTGAATCGAAAGAAGAAGCAGGTATGAGGCTACTTGTATAGCAAGCTTCCCGGATACTGATCACGGTGCTCGCAGACACATAAAGGATGGATGCTCGTATGGCTTGCATTCCAATCAACTGGAGTTATATACGGCGATATCGGAACTAGGTATGTATTATCCCCCCCCCCCCGGAAGACTCGCTTGCTGCTTGAGTCCTGACTTGCTCTTTAGTCCTCTATATGTTTACTCATCTACCTTCTCGAATCAACCAACCTACGATGATCTTGTTGGAGCCCTATCCATCATCATCTGGACATTAACTATTATGGTCACTGTAAAGTATATGTTTATAGTTTTGTCAGCTGATGATGACGGGGAGGGAGGGACCTTTGCGCTATACAGCCTCTTAGCTCGCTACGCCCACATCGTCCAGCGGGACCCAAACCTTCAAGGTTCTTTGAGGCTGGAACGGTATCACACAGCGGATATGAAGCTTGCGAATAAGGGCATTCGAACCATGATTGAGAACTCCCAGGTCGCCAAAGTTTGTCTGAAGATTCTGGGGGTCTTGGGAGTTGCTATGGTGATGTCGTAAGTGCACACTTCCAAGGAATTTCCGGGGTGAGAAACTGACAGCCTCTGAGTGACGGTGTCCTCACTCCCGCTCAGTCTATCCTAGGAGCCATTCAAGGCCTCAGGGTCGCACAACCAAACATCTCATCTGCTACTATCGTTGGAACATCATGTGCTATTATCGTCGTTCTTTTTGCTGCGCAACCGTTTGGAACCTCTAAAATTGCAACCTCATTTGCGCCAATCGTCATGATCTGGTTGCTCTTTAATGCCTGCTGTGGCATCTACAATCTTGCAAAATTTGACCACTCAGTCCTCAAAGCCTTCAGCCCATACTTTGCTGGTTCTTTCCTGGTTCGTAACGGGACAGATGGATGGCAGACGCTGAGTGGTTTGTTACTTGCCTTTACTGGAGTTGAAGCCCTCTTCGCCGATCTAGGCGCCTTCAGCAAACGGGCTATCCAGATTTCCTGGCTGTGCTTTGCATTTCCATGTCTACTATTAGCCTGTATGTCCTTAATTCCTCTCTTTTGATCAATTATGATCACTAACGATAACTTTTCCGCAGATATCGGTCAAGCAGCATACATCGCGCAGGATGCTACGGCGACGGCATACACTAACCCGTTCTTCTATACAGTCATTCCAGGAACCTTCTACTTTAGTATCGTGATAGCAGTTATGGCTACAATCGTCGCCTCGCAGGCGATGATTACAGGCTCTTTCCAACTCCTCTCCCAGATTATGAAGATGTCGTACTTCCCTCATATCAAGACTGTGCATACATCTACGCTATTCCATGGTCAAGTTTATATGCCATTAGCGAACTGGTTACTGATGATTGGTTGTGTCATTGTCACTGCTGCATACAGTAATGTAAGTCTGAAGAAAGAACCCGACCAACCACCTCATGTGTTAAAACTGCGCTAATCCGTGTAAAGACCACAAGGATAGGGAACGCCTACGGTGTATGTGTGATCTTCGTAACGTTTATCACAACCTGTCTCATCTCTCTCGTTGCAATACTTGTATGGCGCTTCAACGTCCTCATCGTCATCTTCTTCTTCCTCGTCTTCGGTTCCCTAGATGGCGCGTATCTCTCGGCAGCACTCACTAAAGTCCCTAACGGGGCCTGGTTTACCCTTATGCTTGCATCTATTCTTTCATGCATATTTGTCCTGTGGCGTTTTGGAAAAGAGCAGCAATGGGCCGCAGAAAGGGCAGATCGTTTCCAGCCTTCCCATCTCCTATCTTCGACTGACAAAGGCGAGGACAAACTCACCGCAGCTTACGGTGGTAGTATTGTCTCGAAAACCCCTGGTATAGGCATCTTCTTCGATAAAGCCGGCGACATGGTCCCTATCGTATTCGCACAATTTGTGAGGAAATTCAGTGCGCGGCCAGAGATAATTATTTTCTTCCATATGCGCGCTCTATCCATGCCCTCAATTCCGGAATCCGAGAGGTTCGTCATCCAGCGGACTCCGATCCCCGGCTGCTATCGTATTACTGTACGACATGGCTATACAGATTCGATCGTCTCTCCTGATCTTGGGAGACTACTTGCCGGTCAATTAACTTTATTCATAACCCGCGGCAACTCATCGAATATATCTCCTACAGAGTACCCTCCAGCTGTTCAGGCGGAACTCGATGCCCTCAGTAACGCTTTGGCGTCACAGCTTGTGTATGTGATGGGCAAGGAAGAGATGAAGATTAGACATGGGACAAATATTTTCAGGAGGGTGCTTTTAATGATGTTCCTGTGGATGAGGGAGAATAGTAGGACAAAGATGGCGGATATGAATATTCCGACCGATAGCTTGGTTGAAATGGGCTTTATGAAGGAAATTTAGATGTTGGGGGCTTTTTGTTCGAATTCAATTCTATCCCGAGGAGGTCATGCCACCCTGCTGATAAAAACTCCTCTTCTAATCATGGTCGAATGATAATCGTGATGGTAAGCGATGTGACGATTCGCGGTAGGGGCTATTATTTCTAGGCTGATGATTGTTATATTCTTTAAACTGCTGCTCCGAAGCCTGGCCATAATAAAGCTATTTCGGTTATTCCTACGCGACCGTCACAATTGCGACCGTAAGTACCTCTCCATAGTAATTTGTATGTAAAGATACATAATTAAGCCATTCTATGAAATTATCACTTCTTCGCTCCCACTCCTACCCTCTCTCCCACTCTCACCCTCGCCCTCGCCCTCACTCTCGACCTTAGTTTGGAGGGCTTCCGGGTCAGGAATTAGGTCCTCAAACTCTGGAGGAATTGGGAGGCCAGCTTTCCGAAGAGCTGCTACCCCCTTCTTTCTGAGGCGCTCTTCCTTCTGGGCCTCAATTCCTGCCCGGCGAAGCTGCTTTTGGGCCCGGTTGGCAGCCTGGCGGGCTACTCGAACCCGCTTGGCCTCAAGCTTCTGAGCTGCTAGCTCAGCTTTCTGGGCCCGAAGCTCGTGAGCGTGAGCTGCCGTAAGCTCGGCAGCTCACGCTCACGATCGGCTCGACCGCTTCTTCGACTCCTCAACCTGGCGTCGAAAAGCCAGTAGGTCAAGCTCTTGAAGCTGGCCTCCTACTACAACCTCTTCCGTTCCTGTGAGCCAATTCTTGTAGACTCCTTAAAAGTCTGTAGCCGCATTTTGGTAAGATCCCTCATAAAGGACTGTAGGTCATATGTAACATCCATATCACGTATGGCAGCAAGCACAGCCTCTCTGTGCCAGTGCTTATACGGCTGGAAGATCCCCACATCTAGTGGCTGTAAAATATGAGTAAGATGGGATGGGAATGTGTATATGATAATATTGTGTTTTTCTGCCATAATGATGAAATCATCACTTGTATGGCTCACATGAGAGTCAAGTAGTAGAACCTTCGTTTCCTCAGAGGGGGTATTCTCTGCAAACCCATATCCAGCCTACCAGAAGGTGTACAGGGGCGATTCTACCCGGGAACTTAACAAGTTCATGGCCTCCCTCCGCGCCATTTTCCGCTACCAATTACTCGGTGTTCCACCCACTCGCTTCGCTCGTAGGTGGCGACAGCAAGTTGTGCGTGCGACAGCAAGATGTGCGTACACCGCTATTTTGATATATAGAAAAAATAATAGTATTCTTCATAACGTAGTATCTACAATGCCTCAAAATAACGATCCTACTATGATTGCTCGCCTTAATGAGGCCCAACAGTTCTTCTTAAAACAACCAAGTACATATACAATTGCTTGGGTTGCAAATAAATTCAATGTCAACCGTGAGACACTCCGACGTCGTATTACGAGTACTACGTCTCCTCAATTACCCCACGGAGGTAGCAATCGAGTCTTATCTCAATCGCAAGAGACCGCGGTCTGTCAATTCATATACGACCAACTTGAGCGCGGGGTCCCTGCCAACCGATCTATGATACTACGGGCAGTTGCAGACTTACGACCTAATCGTACGATACCATCACAACGGTGGCTACAACGCTTTCTAAAAGCACACCCCGAATTTCATACAATTCACACGAAGACGTTAAATACACATCGGAAGCAAGCACAAAAGAAAGAGGTGTTTGAGGAATTCTTTCTCACATATAACGCCCTTATTACAAAACATAACATTAAGCCATATAATTTATGGAATGTTGATGAGACAGGCTATATGATTGGGTGTTATAAGTCTACGGCTGTTATTGTACCAATCGGTGTAAAGCAGTGGACTGTTGATAATCCTGAGAATCGGCTCTCTGTTACTGTAATTGAGGCAGTAAATGCAAGTGGTGCTGCACTTGCAGAAGCTATCATTATCCCTGGCAAACTTCATATGGATTCATGGTACAATGATGACCTTGAGCCAAATGCTCTCATTATTGTAAATGAGAGCGGGTATTCAAACGACGACATTGCAATCCAATACCTTATGCATTTTATCCAACTATCTGCAGAGCATATGGCACCAGATGATACTCGCCTCTTATTACTTGACGGCCATGACTCTCATAAAACAGAGCGCTTTCTTACATTAGCAGAAGAGCATAACATTGTTATTTGCTGCCTTCCTGCTCATACAACACATCTATTACAACCTCTTGATGTAGCGGTTTTTAAGCAGTGCAAACACTTTCATCAAAAGGCACTTGATCAAGCAGTACGTAGCTACGACTATGAGTATAAGCTACGTACGTTCCTTTCAGACCTCCCGCAAATCCGACGGCAATCTCTAACTGTCCGTACAATTCAATCTGGTTGGAGAAATACAGGACTATATCCATATAATCCTCCACTTGTAATTGACAAGATACAAGAGACTCGGAATCAAACACCTGATTATGAGCCATTTGCTTCATATAATATTATCTCAACACCGAAAACAACTATGCAAAGTGTGCAAGCGGTTGAACATTGGCAGAAGAGAGCAGAGGAAGCTTTCTCATCGCCTTCAAGAGAAGGGTTTCAATCATTTGCACGTGGAACTACAGTTGTTCTACACCGGGCAGAGCTCTATAAGACCGAGCTAGATATTATGACTCTACGTGCAGTAGAGCAGAAGGCAGCAAAGGCAAGGGCACGGAAATCACTACAGAAAGGAGGGCAGTTATATGCATCAGATGCACGGAAAATGCGGGAAGAGAAGAAAGCAAAGTTGCAAGCAAAAGCAGACGCAAGAGCAGCAAGGGAATCGGACCAAGTAGTAAAGCAGCTACAAGCGCAAGCACGTAAAATCGAAATTGAAGAGCGTAAGGTTGAGAGGAAGCGGGTAGCAGAGCGGAAGAAGGAAGGGTTGAAATCAAAAGTGATCATTTTACGGTATAGTAAGGATCAAAGTGATAGTAGCAATAGTGGCAGTAGCGATAGTGATAGTAGTTCTATTGATTTTATGTTTTAATTATATAGTTATATAGTTGATATATAAGGCGTCTTTTTCTTCGTTTTATGTGTCGCACATCTTGCTGTCGCACGCACAACTTGCTGTCGCCACCTACGAGCGAAGCGAGTGGGTGGAACACCGAGTAGGGGCCTTTCTGACCAAACAAGCCAAGGTGGCCTTCGCAGCCCAGTACCTAGAAGGCGATCCTATGAAGGAATGGGACAATCGATGCGCAGCCCAGCGTGAAGGATATATGGATACCCTCGATATCGCTGGTTTCGAGGAGTTCCTTCGGGACCTCCACGTCGATCCACCGAACTGGCAACGCATCGCAGCCCTCAAGTACAATGGCGCTCTCCAAAGAAAAGGCCAGAGTATATGCAAATTCGTTGCCTACCTCAAGGATTTGGAGTGGGAAATGGAGCCATATACCAAGTTGCAAAGGACTACCCACCTACTGACGAAAATCCACCCAGAGATGAGGCAGCAACTCCTTAAAGGTGTAAGGATGCCTCTGCCCTCAGTGACGGAAAGCATCGGAGTCGGGCAGGTTATGGTCACGTGGGGAGAGTTAGGGCAGGTTAGCCGAGTCGGACCCGTTTCGGGTACTTAAGGGGATTGACTCAACGGGGTTCCTCATCATCTTTTTTGTATCCTTCGTAGTAGACCTACAGGATAGCATCCGTTTAGCCCCCGACTCGCACTCTCATATGCTATTACTGTGAGCTGGGTGCCCTGTGTCCTTACAAAAGGAGGGTATGCAGAGCGTTCCTCTACCCACAGTGAAGCTGTCGTCAATATCCTAGCGATGCTTGAAATGAATAACCAGTGGGTAACAGAGAAGAGCTCTACCCCTGACAAGCATATGTCGAGGGAAGGCAAGGAACACAAGAACGGCTTCCGAGGTGGCTTCCGAGGTGGTTTCCGAGGAAGGAGAGGCAACTTTGGAGGCCGTAAAACCTCACAACCTCCTAAAGGGGCGCAACAACCAGCGCATAGACAGATGCCATCCCAGGGCCGAGACTCAAGGTCAAGCCAGAGCTCAGGCACCTGTTATAACTGTGGTAAGGCAGGCCACCTCGCCAAGGAGTGTCAAAGCCAACACACAGGCTTGGGAATAAGGAAACTCGACACTATGAAGCAAGAGTGACTCTCAGTCGCCCTGACCCCACAGCCTACCACCAGGAAGAGGATGGAAATTGATGTAAGGATGCCTCCGTACCTAGATACTCGAAGAACCTGTCTCAGAACTGTTACGGTCACTACAAACATGGAATCCGACTCGGTGGGGTTTCGAACCAGTAGAGGATCATATAGCGAGTTACACTATAGTGGGGGACGGTAAGTGTATAGGGTTCAGGGCTGATGCAGACCTGTTGCGGTGGAAGGTTCAGGGCTAGAGTTGGGATAACCGAGTTGGGCCCGTTTCGGGTACTTAAGGAAACAGACTCAACGGGGTTCCCCCTTCATCTTTTTTGTATCCTTCGTAGTAGACCTATAGGATAGCATCCGTTTAGCCTCCGACTCGCACTCTCATATGCTATTACTGTGAGCTGGGTGCCCTGTGTCCTTACAAAGAAGGTGACACTGCCTTCGTCCTGGCCTTGAGCTTAGACAACGAGCCGCCAGTCCAATGCCCGAGGGAATACGAAGACTTCGTCGGCGTCTTCTCAGAAGAAGGGGCAGAAGTCCTACCTGAGCTGTAGGAAAACCCACAGTATTGACACCGGAACACAAGATCCACCGTATGGCCCAGTATACAACCTTTCTGAGATGGAACTGGCCACGCTCTGTGGATACCTTCATTCCAGTGAGGAGAAGGAATGGATACGGCAAAGCGTGATGTCATACTGACATTTGTTGCACTCAGTTTGCTATCAAACTCAAGAGCAAACTTAGAAATCTCCTCCTCAAACCTACAAGTCACTATTCATATCTTGGCTTATCACACCAACAACAAGAGCAATACTACTCAACGATTGCTAACAACCCTCTATGATTTATTACATGTCATCACTCCTTAGTTACTAGGCTAATACTACCACATGGCATATCTCTACCAACTAGACGCCTAGGAACATGAATGATAGATCCAAAAGCTTCTACAACCCTCTATGATTCATTACACGTCATCGCTCCTTAGTTACCCACAAGATTGGTTAAGTTATGACATAATCTGTCTATAGGGGTACTCTGACCTTGGACCTCCTTTCACTTCCTATAGGCTAGGAACCTAGGAAATGGTTCTATGGAATTTTCTTACGTTCACTACTGTAATGGTGGGTGCACC